AAAGGGCTACCCTTCACTGTCGCTATGGGTCATGACAAGTTGCTTGAGCCTCCTACATGGGTTCTCTTGTAGATGCTGCAGCCTATGCAATGCCGGTGAAACTTGTCCAAGGATATAAACGATACAATCTTTGAGCCTTTATAACGCCCTAACTAGACCGTTTTCCGACCTGATAGCGCCAGATATTGTATAGGAGGAGACCTCGAATTCATCCTATGGGGAAATCTTATAATAGAAACAATTTTATCGTGAAGTGTGTCTTTATGTAGTCAAAATTATCGGATTGATATAACAAACATTCGACGCAATGGCATTGGCTATTTGGTTGCTCTACACAATTAAGCTTATTTACATAACTCTTTAACTCGCAATTTCTTATGTTTTCTTCGCAAAGGTTTTGCTAAATTATATCAATTCTTAACATTTTCCAAGGCGCCTTAGTGCCTTTCTGCGAACTTCCGATTTGTATGCTTTTGATACAAAATTTCTCACCGTATGCAGTGCTACCTTCCCGTAGACATTCGACGATTCCGAAGCTGGGTTGTGAACTGTTCTGCTAGAATTTCATCTTCATGGATACAATTCATCTACCGGAGGTCTCTTCTCATTTCCGTTGTATTTTGGTCGGACATTGCTAATCTCGACCTATACTTTAGATTTTTAGACAGAATTAGGATCGAGTGAGGTGATTACCTCTGATTGCCGAACTTGCAATTCTGACTTAAGAACGAGAAAAACTGGTTGAGATTAGCTATGTTCTCCGTGTTCATCTTCATCCACTTATATTACTGCGCCTTACCCGCTGCTAATGGGCCTCCTACATTTAGTGAGCTTCATACCTTTATGAGTTCCGCCGGTTCGTTGTGGCAGATTTGCGAACGTTTTGAACTTGAACACCACTGCCTCACGTATGCACGCACAAACAAAATTTTAAAATCACATGTCAATACACTCATACTCATAAACAAAACAAACATTCATACACATATGGTCATGTACCTTACACACACGCACATACGCACACCCTAACACATGCGCACACACGCGGAAACAGATGCACTCACATTCACTTGCACTCACATACACATATATAAATACACATACAATAGCGGTCTGTACAATACGCAGCAGGACAAGCCCGACTGATTATAAATTATTTCCTCTTCTCTTCTTCTATCTTCTTCTTCAATCTTCTTCACCATGATCGGAACTTGAATGCTTTTCACGGCAGACAAAGCGTAAAGGACTCGCTCATTCCAGTGAAATTCCATAGCCCTTTCCATTCAGATAGGGGTAATATGTGAGGGGTGCTACGGTTCCGTCAAGTACATATAAAGTGTTCCGTGGCATGTTAGAAGTAATATAAGTTCCGAATTAAGTTTTGCACAGTTCCCTCCCTTTCTTGTGTCAAATGACCGTGTTCATCAACAAATTAATTGAATAGATTGGTAGAAGGGTTTGTACAAAAAAAGGCTAAAGATCAAACGAATCTACTCTTTTTTTTTCACTACCTTCTACCTGGGAGGATTTGAACATCCTTCGTTCTAATCGCCTTGCTTCGCTAATCTGTGGTCTCTTCCCAGAGAATAGCTAAGGAGCGCTCACAAGTTTGAAAGAACTTTTCCACGTTCTTTTGAGAATAGATCCATTGGTTTTGAAGGCATATACAGGCTCATTGGTTCAAGACGCATTAGCCGGTGTCTATTGCATTGCAAATGAACATACGAATCTATCACCCGTGAAATTAGTTTACTTCGTTTGCAGTTTTTGGAACACCCGAATCGTGTATCAAACTACCGGAAGTAATGCTTTCGATGAATTTCTGCCGCCTATGGCATACGATCATGGTTACCCGATCGAATGATTAAATCATGAACCCGTATAGTCGAACCGTTCTTCAAGAAATAAATGTAGTTTTCAGTTTGATAGTGAGTGGTTCATCCACTCAATTACTTCTACAGCCAATAATTAAAATATGATGCGCGGTAAATCGAAGGGTTTGTTGAGGGAGATCTTGCACAGTTTTGATTCACTTAAGGGCAGGGGAAAATTTCAGTGCAGCTTCAGGTATGTCCTAGATTGGAATCTTCTCTAGGGGTAGAAGGGAAAGTGGTAGCGGCGAAAGTTGAATGAAGACGGGATGAAAGAGTTCAGAAAAATATTCTTAGGTTCTTGGAAAGTGAATTGTGCATGTACATATATGGGTCGAATAATAAGAGTTATGATTTCGTTAGTTCACTAAACTGATAAAAAATCCATCATGTTCAATGAAAATCCTGATGAGCTGCTTGTTTTTTAACTGAATTTCAATTGATCAAATAAGATAGAGTAATGTAATGTAATAGTAATAGTAATAGGTAATGTTTCCATATCTCGACTCCTGAATAGTCACCTCAACTAACTCGAAAGCTTTCACAGAATTTTTTCCTCCAAGTTCTCACTTCATCGATAGTCTAGCTCTCATCTGTAATTGCCCTAATAACGAAATGCTTATTGTTACGCCTTTATTCGGCTTGTTTAGCTGTTATTTGGCTTTCTGTAGTTGTGGGACAAATGCCAAATCATGCATTTCTTCTTCCTTACATAGTAATCAGAAACTAAAGTTTTCAATATTTATGTGATCGTCCCGTATCGCCCTGCTCCAAAAATTCATAAGTTTCCAAGTAGCTGAATTCGTTAACTGCCTTCCTTAAAACATGAAGCTCCAATAGGTTTGATAGATTTCCTTCCACCTTCCCCAAAATTTNATACTTCCCTTTGAAATATAGCTTTAATTCTGAAGATTGTAAGAGGGAAACGATTTATGGAGGGAAATACTCCCGTGCAATTGCCGCCAGCTGCTCGTAGTTTTTACTTTTCATTGAATTTATGACTTTTTACATCTTTTATGTGTATGGTCTTTCTACCAGTAGCTTTTTCTCTGTATACAACCCATTTTACGTACAAAGCTACAATTCTTCAACCGAAACTTTTTTACAATGTACATCAATTGCAGTAAAATTTTAGTATGCCTATAAAGATTCAGCTATATCATACTGCACGGCACTGCCTTTAATTTAGCGCAATAAATAATACTTACCCAAAAGAGGCCGACAGGCGATTTCTCGCTGCAGGCCAGCTCGGCTAATTGTAAGTAAGAGTTAGAGCCAAGAAGAGAAAAATAAGAAAACATTCATGGTCCTCTCAAAACCCTTAAGAAAGTCTCGTCAAATCTTTTAGCCTTCACCCGCAGTTGATCAAGTTGTGGGTTTGCGCCCCTGCATTCACTTACATTCGGAATCGTGTGGTGGTTTCAATGTGTGTCATATACAACGGCTGGCGGTAGCCAGTCGATGTAGAAGTCAGTGTTTTTAACCTCTCAGACGAGTCTGGTATCAATCAACTGATTCCTAAGGGGTGAAACGCTTGATAGAGGATTCTCATCTAGTACTCGGATATCGTTGCATAATAGAGCGCCTTCTGCCTCTACACCACCTCTGCTCAAATCTAAACGTCAAGACAAAAATATCATGTTTTTTTCGTATTGATATTGAGTCCTATATGCAGGGCTGTCTAGTATGCACCCCCCCCCCCCCCCCCCCCAAAAA